AAAAAATGGAAAGTGATGTTGTTACACATACTCATACATATCTGTTGTTACACTTTTTTTGTGACGGGTAGATGTAGTCCTGGAATTTCTAACAAATTCTTTAGTACAAGAGAAGGTGTTGCTGTGGTTCTGTTCTGAAATGTGCCTTCTCAGAGTGCCTTCTCTCAAAGTGAAGTAATTCAGGCAGAGAGAAAATCAAATATTTTTGAAGTAAGGATGCAGCTGATGCAGTTAATTTTATTGAAATTACATTTTTAGTATTTGGGGGTTTTTTTATATAATGGGACTGTAGGCATGACTTATACAGGTAAAACAGTTTTGCTATGACTCTGGGAATTGCTGAGTCTCCTCTCAGGATTCAGATGCAGCTAAAGTAGAGATTGGGAGCAGAGTCTTAGGAGAGTGTTCAGTCATTGCATTGCAGAAAGTTGGGTAGACTTTTGATTTCTGTGCAAATGGATTGACCTCTTCTAATTAGAATTCTTTTCTTGTCCCTGTTACTGTTGTCTGCATTTCAAAAAATGGATAAAATTAGTAGAATACAGTGCAGAATTTAGTCAGTATGTTGCTACAAGTAATTATGATTTTTGATGATCATTTCAGTTTCTTGATTGCTATAGAAAGCTGTGACAGCAGGATATGCAAAATTTTGAGTAGCCTGAAGTTAATTTATAGTCACCATCTAATTGCAGCCCCATTAATTATTCTCTCTACTACCAAAAAAAAAAGGTAAAAAATAATAGGAATTTGCTTACATTTTATGGACATCTGCTTATTCTGGTGATATCAGTTTTATTACTCTTATCTCTGATACTTGAACAGAATTACTTGTCTAAGACAGATGTTTCTGTCAAGGCCCCAGTGCAGGGAGCTGTCACAACAAGCTGGCAAAGGTCTGAGCTACATCTCATTGTAATTTGTACTCATAACCCTTCAGTTTCAACAATGCTGTTTCCTGAAAATTCTTTGTAAATATTTTAAAATGTTTACCAATGTTTCTTAAATGAAAACTCATTCTTTTCTTTCACAGGGAAAGATTCTTAGTGTTGAACTATATGGACAAACATGAAGCTAGTATATTACAACTGTGCCAGTGGATCCAAGAGGGTAAACTGAAGGTGAGAACTTTTAGATTTGATCTATGGCCTCTGATACTATGTCCTCAGATCATGGTCTGACTACAAGAAGACCAATTTCTTTGTCCCTGGCTCTCTTACTGTGCTCAGAATTGGACAGACTTTCTTAAGAATGTGTAAGTATGATTGAAAGCTTATAAGATAGCACTGTTTTAGAAGGTACCTGTGAGGATGGTCTGACTAATATGACAGACTTCTCTAATTACATGCTACTCATGTCTTTATTTCAGTTTTCTTTATTTCAGTATAGGGTGCACTTTTTACTTAAAGGATCAGGCCTTCAAAAATATGATTTTCAAATATCTGATCAGTTAAGTGTCCAGAATGCTTCTGAGGATCTTGTCTGAAATTTTTTTTCAAGCTTTATAATCATCATTTATTATTTTGTGATAGGTATATGCTTAATCTATGCCTTCAGACAGAGGTCTGTCTGAATTAGTTTTTGTTTCTTGTAGTGATCAGTAAATTTTCCTGGGAAAATCCTGAGATGTGAAATTTTGGCAGAGGCAGGGGCCTAATTGAAGAATTAAACAGTTTCTGGTCTGAATGAAGAATTAAATCACCTGCACACTTCTGAGAAAATATTCATATGTCTCCTGATGAAAGAGTCTGGTCCGAACAGAGCACTGACCATTGTAGCAAGAGAAATCTTTAGATTTTTGGTAGTTTCTGTGGCAGTTTCTTGGGATGTTTCTAAAAAATGTGAAATGCTAATCTTGTTTGAAAAAAACTAAAAGGACTTGTTTGCACTGACAGGTCAGAGAGACCATGGTAGAAGGCTTAGCAAACATTGGCGGTAAGATTTTTACATCATTTTATAAGAATAATAATAAGCTTATTAAATACAATGACATTAGAGATTAACTACTTCCTTTGATTTATTTGCCAATTCAGATTTTTGTATTTTTCATAACCATGATTTTTGTTATAATAAAATATTTTTGAATGAGGTATTAGTGTTCTGTAAGAAAATTAATTTACATTTATAAAATCACTGAATAAAAATTTAGATTTTTTTTTAGACTGCTACCTTAGCAGCTGATGATAGTCATCCTGATCTTACTGGTTTAAAGTGCTGCCTGTTTCTTAGAACTTGCGTGTAAGAAAATGCTATTTTGACAACTTTGAAATTATACTTTAAAAAAGCCCAATATCTAACAGAGGTTGTTATTGGATTTGCTAACAAAAAAAAAAAAGTACACGCAAGAAAGGGCAAAGAATATTAGAGATTGCTAAAGAAAGTAAATTTTTTTTTAACAGAACAAAATATCATGTAGCCTGTTCAAAATATTGTAACAAAGAAAATATAAAAATAAAGGGGGTCTTGTGACATAAGCCATGTCATCAAAGATCCCTGTCAAGTAAGGGGAAAGAGTATGACTTCGTCCATTTGGTCTTTAGTCCCACAAGATTGGAACTCGTAGAATTAAGCAATAACCAAATCTTAGAGATTCCAATTTATTCTAGTCATTGCTAATTGCTGCTTACTGGTATACATATGTATTTTGAAGGAATTTGGTCAAATATAGCAGTCATATTTCATACTTTTGTATTTTGTTTACTCAAGGTATATTCTTTTGTACCAGCTTCTCACATTATTATAGAATATTTATAAGCCTTTTCTCTCACAAAGGCTTGTAAAACCCACAGCATTTGGGGGCTCTCCAGTCATGCCTTGTCTCTCTTTGGTGTTTGCATGACATATTACAACAGCAGCAAATGTAATTGTTAATTTGTATAGGGTCAAACAGTTGCTTACAAGTCAGATTTTTTTAATTATGACACAAAGCTGCCCCAAAATGGGATCTCTCCTTTTTAGGGAGCTGTTTAATACATTTGCTTCTACCATTTTTGATTTCTTTTTTAAAGGTTACTTGGCACTAACTTATTTCATTACTTCTCTTGAAGCTGCTTTCCAGTCCATGATGAGTGGAGGCAATATCGGAAAACAGATCGTCTCAGTTTCTAAGTAAAAGTCATCGTTTTGAGAAAAATAATTGCACTCTGTCTCTAATAGTGAGGAAGCTTTTACTTATACTAATTTCCATTTTTTAAATAAACCATCAAGTTGTTCTGTGTGAATTGAAAGCAGAGATTTTGGGATGCTAATAAACTAAATAGAACTGCAAACAGGAATGCAATCGTTTATACTTGAAATGAGTAATACATTCTTTGAGGTGGTTTTGACAGTTGCCAGCTGTAACCCTTGCACATATTTCATGGGTATGGTTTAAAAGTTAGAAAATCCCAGTGTTGTCCCAAACACAGGCTCATCATCTGGTCTGTGTATGATGGCACTTCACACACCAAGGTGGTAACCCTCAAAGGGCTGGCTCACCATCATCAAAACTTCACACTATTTACACGTTTTTAGCAATCAGCATTCATGGGTTACAATTTACATGGCTTTTTCATTAGTTAGTGCTCAAACCCTTATTTGCTGGTTGTATCTCTTGCTTCTCATGCTGATTATTCCACGTGTGCAGTTCTTCCCTCCATTCCAGTCAGGGTCTGTTTTGAGTAGATGGTTAATGGGTTGGTGGTCACCATCTCCCCTGCTGGAATTACCTTTCCTCCAGTTACTGCTCAATCTTGCTGACTTCACTCCTGGTGGCTCTTGTCCAGGCAGCCCTTTCATTTTGGGATTGTGTTCCGTTTCCCTTAAAACAAAGGATTAGCCAAGATGCAAGTTTTACAATTCAATTGCTTAGTCGTATCTGCCTAGCTATAGATAGTGATTAACAACAAAAAAATTGCAAAGTTTGGTTCAAATCTTGAGGGACCAGATATCACTAGGAACAATTTCCAGTAAGTAATTTGTATACAGCCACCTAGTTTTGGTTTTAGAAGAATTTACTAGTGTAGATGTGCACCATTCCCATGCTAGATTGTCTCAGTGCCCAGGAACTTCTCTAGGAATTTTTAATTTACTAATGTAAGTTTTCCCCTGACAGTTCAATCAATCTAGCTAATAATTTTAGAACATAACTATTCTTATTTTTTCCAGATAATTGCAATAAAAATTTCATTTCTATAATGCAAACTCTAATAACAAAGGTATTTCCGTTTTGCCATCTGAAGCAAATTTCCACCAATCTGTCTTGTCCATTTCTCTGTATTGTGTCATTATATCGTCTCTTTCTGAGCCCTTGAAACCTAATTGAATTACAATTCCCTCTGCATGCAACCTGAGACCTTAATCAGAGATAGTTCAGGTGTAGGGTGATCCTTATTTACTCTTCTCAATCTTTGCATTCCAGATTTAAATGAAGTTTTCTTTTTAAAATTCCTTTTCTAAATTCCACTGCATCTTATTTTTATTATAATCTCCTGATTTTCACTAGTTTTACTGTTGTTTTCACCTCTCCAAGGTAACAGACAGAGAATCTCAAAACAGGCTGCCCAATGACAGAGGTAATGTTGCAGACGTTTGATTTTCTGTTCCCTCAGTAACTTCTCTTGGCTCTGAATTTTTAGTCTAACAATGCTCTTTTACCATCTCCGTGGGGAAACTTGAAAAATGAGCAGTCGGCTGAACTGTCCACAGAATGGGTTATGCATTAAGTCACTACCGAGGTCAAACTAAATGGAATCCAAGGACTGGGAAAGAAACACTGCGAGAAAATAATTTTGTGTGCTGTGGAAAGGTAGGGTATCAGAATTGCCTAATATTGTTGTGAGCAATATGAAAAACAGTCCTTTCATTTCCTAATGCCTAAGCTGGCCCTGAAAGAAGGAAGCATGCAGTGATGGATGCCATAAACTTTGAGGAGAAGAGACCTGCAGTATAGCATTAGATTATCTAAAATAATAATAAATACCTGTATATTTCAGAAGAAATTTCAACTATGAACTGTGGTGAATTTCTATTGTATGAATGTAAGAAAGCAATCATAACAATAAGCATTGTTATGCATTTTTCAACTACAAAACTAGGGTACTGGTTCACTTTCAGCTGGATTTTGAATCCAGTTTGTGTCCCTAAAAGTGAGATCATCGCCCATTATGCAGTAAGCCAATCTCACACACAGAGCCGAGATCTTTGCTTTTTCATGTCTGTGCAGAGATGGATGCTGAGTGGCAAATCCACCAAGCCAGCACACCCTCACTATGACAGGTGCTAATTTTTATACACTTGGAACAATAAAAAAATTGTCATTTCCTGTAGAGGCAACCACCTAAAACTATAGTCACTGACTTTGCATTTTCTTGTCTCCATTTAAAGATACAGTGCACTGTTATTTTACCTTGCATGCTCTATCAGGAAAGGGCTTACGTGAATAAGGGCTGATCTTAGCCTGTGAGCAGGTATTTTACTATATTAATGAGCACAAAGTTCAGATGAAGTTGTTCCTTGGCTTTGTAGTTTGACTTATACTGTTCTTACTTCTCCAGTCACGATTCTTGGTTTCTGTAGGTTTGGTTATTCCCTCGTTTTTCATAAGTTCTTTTTCCTGTCCTGTAGTACAATGAATTTTTAACCTTCTCATGGTACTTTATTTCAAGAACACTGGAATAGAAGCCAAAATTTTTATACAGTAACTTTGGTATGTTGTCACAGTTGGCAAATGAAAGACAGAAAGCAAGAGGTGAGCAAAAGTCTATGAATTCCTGCATATTGACTGTTTATAGATGAATAACTCAGTTGTGAAAGTTAAGCAGTGCAGGCTTGTATGACTTGGTAATTGATGTGTATATTAGAATGAGAGGCAGCAAGAAATGCAGTGATCCTGAGCACTGTGTCTAGACTTGGATTCCTGTCAACTGGATTTAATGAGAAGGGTGCTGCTGGGAATACAGCCTTTCCAAACAGCATCCCCAATGAGTGTGCTGCTGTGCCCATTGCCCCCTTTCCTTTCTTTATTCGCTCCTACATGTATGTGCCTGATAGGAACATTCAAATTGAAACAGCATCACCATCACTCTATGCACCCTGTGTTCTGCATTCAGTTTCTGCTGGGCAGATTAGCCTTAATGCACTCTAACACATATAATCTTTCTAATTAAGCCTCCTCGTCCTTACAGTTCATTCTTAGAGCAAATATGTAAATACAAAACAAAACAGCCCACTCCAAATATATGACCAGTCATTAACACTCCACATGACCAACCATAACACACACACACACACACACACACACACACACACACACACACACTGCAGAAAATCTGGCTTTAACCTGAGGCTCCACTGCTGCTGCTTCTGAAAATTGTTATTGATGCAAAAATATTTTTACAAATGAGAATATTGGGTGCTTTTTGGGGCATGGCGTTGCCATGGTGTTTTCCTATTCTACCCTTGAAGGCTAACCCACATAAAAGTTGCAATGTCCTATAACATGCATTTCCCTATATATGGCATCCTCCAATCTATCAATTTTATTTCCATTTCAACAGCCTGTTTTGAGAGAAATGTCTTTTATTCTTAAAACTAAGGACTGTTTTCTTTTATTCCAGCCTGCTTGGAAGGAAGTATACATAGAGTAGTATTCAAAGCAAGCTAATTAAATACTTGTATATTTCAAAAGAGACTTCAACTATGAACTGTGGTGAGTTTGTGTTGTATGAATGTAAGAAAGCAATCATAGTAATAACCACTACTAAACAGGTGTTAAAATGTTAATTTTCTTTCATATGTTATGGGTGAAAGGCTCAGTTTAACATATTTATGTTTCCAGAGTTGCATTTGTTTGTCCAAAGTACAAATTTTATTCTTTTTAACCATATTTGCTGAAGAGCTAGTCCAGAGTGAGCTCGTCTCTGGCACTGTGAGTCGACACACCTTCCAGAAGTAATCATCCTCTAGGAAGTTATTTTTCACAACTGAAACAAACTGTGATAAAATTATAACATTCCCAGCAGTGTTATTTTTACAGCAATTGCTTAGTAATCCACACAAGTCATAAATCTATTAAGAGCTGTGATGTGAGGGGTGATCCAGAGTGAGATCATGCTGAGGTATTGATTCTTTACTGTAATAAAGGCAGCCTGATTGCAGCAGCATTCCTGGAGTTAGGTAAGCTATGGAGGGCAATACAAGTTCTAGCAGCATTAGTCAAGTGCCTTTGGGAAAAAAAAAAAAAAAGATGGGGACAGTCAAAGTAAACTTCATCCTGATACCCCCAATGTTTAGGATTCTCATGGAAGTATTTCTTTACCTGTGAATCCTGGTTCATGTTACCTCCTAAGAACAAACAAAAACCAAAGAGAGAAGATTCTTTAAACCAAGTGCCAACAGTTATAAAAAATATTTTTTTCACCTTAATTTCTCAATTATTGTAATAGTGTGGCTCTTCAGCTGTCATATTTTGTACTGTGAGAGGTGTCATTTAACAAAGAGTAACAAATAACTGGTAACAAAAATCCAGTATGCTTTGGATGTAGTAGATAGGTAATCACTGGCTGTAGAAGCACCGGTATTTGTCTCAGGAAGCTTTACCTTACAAAGGCAATGAGTGATAGTTCCTAAGATCTTAAGGAAGGGCAAGCATGAATTCAGAGTAGGAGTTGTGTGACAGTTGTCCCTAAAGTAGGGTTATTTCACCTGGAGTGCAAGAGCCAATCAATACACTGAGTTGAGATATTTGATTTTATTGCCATACTGTAGAATAGGATGCTAGGTATCTAACAATGTTGTCCCTGAAAAGTGGAATCTTTCACCTGGTGTGCAAAGCCAGTAGATATACAAGGTTGAAAGGGGTGCTAGGTGGTAACCCCCAAAGCCAGTACATTGAAGGCCAAAAAATACAAGCATATGTATACAGTTCTGTTGAGGCAATATGAACATGATGAAGCGACACTATTATTTGGCTAAGCTGCATTTGGCTTAAATTTCTCTCACCTTGATTTAAAGGTGCATTCTAAATTCATTGTGCAAGTTCACTGGGTAGGGGTCTTCACAGGCGGAGAGCCTCAGCTTCAGAGGTGTGGTTTTCACATTATAACGTGCTAAGTTCACTCAGAGGATGCAATTTCTTAAGTTAGTTGTAACATTTTTAACCCCCAACCTTCAGAGGCTTGTTTGGGCTGGTGTAAGTGTTGCCGGTTTTAGGAGCTCTCTAAACACAGACAAATAGTCCAGTTTAGAAAGGAGACATTGTTATAATTTTTACTATTTATACATTTTAGCAAACAAAGGAATTAGTGTCCATTTGCTACAACCTGCATAGTCTCTTATTAATTACTGCTCTATCTTCTATTAACTATTCTCTTGCTTCTCATGGCAATTAGTCTGTATGCTCAGTCTTTCTCTTCAGTCGGTGGGTTTCTTGGGTCAGTGGTCCGTGAGTTGGTGGTCGCCATCTCCACCTGCCAGAATTACCTTTTACCCAGTGAGAGCCCATTTCAGCACAGTTGCTGAGTTGGCTTAATTAGTTTCTTCCTTATCTTGGGGGTTCTGCACGTCCTCGTGGCCCATTCTCCATTCTTCATGTCCGCCATCAATGGTACGTCCTTCTTCCCGAGCTTTGTTAACCTCCCACTGTGTCTGAGATCTTTCAAGCATGCCAAGCCCTAAACTGTCAAGGCCAACAAGTAATTTGTCTTTCTAGCACCTGGACATTGCTTAGAGCTGGCTTGTTCGCTGCTGTTTCATGGTTTAAATCTTCTTTCTTGTTGATTTAGTGTGAAAGTATAAAAAAGATTAAACATCAAAGAACATCCTTTCTTTACAAAATTTTCACATATCTCACATTTTGCAACAATAAGGCAGGACTTTGTGTCATAACCCCCTTCTCATTCCCTGCAACTCTCTGGGCAAATTGTTAACTATTTCTTATTTATGTTATGCATTTCACAGCATCGTGGATGTAATTCACCAATGAACAGAATAATTCCTTCATAAGCAAACAGCAACTTGAAAAATTACACATACTTTTTCTAAGGGACTTGAAAACAAAAAAGACAACCAAATGCATTTGGAAGACACTGTCAGATTTTTTTCTTTCCAAATAATAATTTCAAGTATACTTTTAGTAGTAGTTTAAAATGGGAATTAACTACTTTAAATGGGCTCCTCCATGCAGATTAAAAAACCCAATCAAAACAACCCTAGAGTATTGTAATAGAAGCTTTTATACTGTGAAAGATTGATTTGTCACAGATCATACTAATGTTCCCCAGCAGTATGTACAGTACTTACTCCAGCAGTCTGGTTGCACGATCTGTCACATGCTTTGCTCACATCACGTAGCTCTGATTTGTCCAATAAAGAGCTTGTAAAGGACTCTTGACTTCAACAGACCTCTGTATTCTCATGCTTACTCTGAAACAGCAGTACTGTTTTAAACAAAAGAAAACTATATGCCAGAAATAATGAATGCCAAAGGCAGTTGCTTCTGTTCAAATAAAAAAAATCAATAAATATTTTTATCCACTACTCATCCATAAATTGGAAAAAAAGGTGCCATAAATCATGTAACACAATGAGATCTTACACTGATGCCGACTGATATAAATGCTAAGGATGCATTACAGCACAATATTGTGTTATCTTCTCAGTAAAAATGCAGCCTTTTAGAGAGCAGAAGAGCTTTATTTTGAAAGAAGACCAAACCCAGGCAATTCATCAGGACAACCCAGGATCTGTTATCACTGGAATGTCTTGCTTCAGTCTGCTATGTTGATTTGTACCTTCTGGGCACAGCAGGCCACAAAGGAGTAAATCCAGTTTTCTTTAAAGGGTGGATCCCAGATTTATCATAATTTATCTATTTATCTGCATAGTTGTCAGAGGTTTGTCCAGTTACTAGTAGTTCTTTAAGTGAGTGGTGATTCTAGGAGATGGCTTGCATTTTATGAAACCCATTTATTTTGGTTGAATTTGAAGGGAAAACATCCTGTGTTGTGCATTTTGTTACTTATAGTTAACCTGGGCAACCACTTGCCTACGTGATAGGGACTGCTGAATTAGAAGCACAGACTAGGGGTTAGCCTCTAATAACTGAGATATAAAGAATTAAGAAACTTCAAAGACCCTATTGGTAAATAAAATCTTCCTGTGTTAAATGTACAGCTCAAGTAGGAAAGTTAGGATTTTCCTACTAAAGTTTTAGAATATTGGAAAACTGTTTAAGAAGGAGAAAATCTGAATTAACGTGAGACAAAGTAAGTTTTACTTGTCTTTTAGGCAACAAAAAGCTGCAATAGCTGTGTCTGTAGAGCATGAGGTCAGAGATGCTTCCTGTGTAGGGTAGAGCTCTAAGCTTCTACAGTGTGCTCTTCACTGTGACAGCAGGAGAGTAGGATAGCCCCTTTCTCTCAAAATTTATTACATTATTCTCACATACATATATAATTCACACATCAACTACATTAGGAGCATGTGATTCTTATTTGGGTTGCTGGAGCCAGGGATAATGCATCTACAAACAAAATATCTTTGCTCGCCCCACTAAGAATAGCATTGAGAGCTCTTTAACAGAATTCCATCCATCTACTAAACACAGCCCACAGAGCCAAAAGTAAGTATTTGATAGACTGTAAGATTTTAAAGTCTATAGACATATGATTGCATTGAGATTTGTTTATGTTGCAATTGACTGCTACCACCACCAAAAGAAAAGTCTCACTTCAGAACACAGTCTTGTCACAGGGTAGAAATATGAAGTATTTTATTGCCAATTCTTATGCTCCCTTATCACATAAAAGTAATTGTGAAATGTCATTATTAATTTTTCAATAGCATTTCTCACAAATACATTTTGTGCCCTACCTCTGATTTTCTAACAGCTTTGCAAAACAAACTAATGTAGCAACAAATGACATTGTGTATTGTCTTAACAGTGTATTTAACTTATGCAAATGAGAGCTCTATTATAATCATCAATCATTGAAGAACACAAAGAGTAGGAAAACTGTCACCTTTTAGAAATAACAAAAAAATCTTTGTTGTAGTTAACATTTTCTTCCAATTCAGTTTATTTTCCTATGTTCTACTACAGTCACAAGCGCCCTAAGTAAGTTACCTCTCCTTTTGCTTTCGAGGAGCCATAAATAAATTACTGTAAAATTACCTGAAGTATTTTAAATGTTCTACTCACAGCAGTCTTCTGTAAAGCAACCCAGTGTTTTCGTTTACAAATCAAGGCACCTTGGCTCTCTTGGCTCTGGATCCTTGCATTCTTCATAAATGTAACTAATTGCACTATCATTTTTGGACTTAAAAAAAAGTGAAAACAACAAAAAAAAAAGAGTTTTCTTAGGTCACTCTTCAGTGCATTTGACTGAGACTCAGAAACACAGGCCTGACCTGCTCAGTTACAGACACTGTAGGCATCAGACCACATAGTTCCTCCAGGATCTCCCATCCTGAGGACATAGTCTCCATTGCTTTGATGTTGAACTCTGACTACAGCTTAGAATCCCAGCAACATTGATCTTTCACTGTCTTTTCACTGGTCAGGTGTGGGAGAATTGGAAACAAGAGCAATAGTCCACAGCTCAGGTAAACATGACCACAAACACACATATACACACCTAACAGCCTATAATCTGCTTGTATATAGCATTATGCACTGAAAGTGTATAAGCATAGGACTCTTACTGTGAA